CCTGGGATAAGCAGGACACTGACATCTCTCATCACCGAAACTCTCAGCTCATGTTGTAGAAGCTCTATTCCCCGCATGCACTGCTCAGAAGACTAGGGTTTCCTGACACCCTGATCTCACTGGTAGGGTGAGGGCTTTGCCTAAGGCACAGTAGGCTGTGAATCCTGGGGCCTAAATTGCCCCTCACCCCTAGAATAACAGGAGCAAACTGAGAAAGTCATGGTACCATCCTTTCCCTATGCTACCCACTTGCTCATGGAGTAGAAGTGTTACTTGGCTTCAGTGTATTAGTGCATAGGTCCCTACTCAGAGCAGTCAGAGTGAATGTTAGGCTGCCCTTAATCAGAGTAATGAGACTAGATATACGAGGTTGCCCACTCAGGAGAAATCAGAGTGATGTACCAGGCTGTCCCTAACCGAGAAGCAATGGGAGCTTTGTACTCGGCTGTCCTTACTCAGACAAATCACGCTGGATATGCTAGGCTGCCCCTACTTAGGAGCAATCAGTCCAATATGTGGCTTCACTGACTTGCAAGCATTCCCCAAGCCATACACAGATTAAGTAGCGAAGGGCTGAAGTCTTACTGGCTCAAGAGACTTAAGCATAATCTCTGAGTCATCACTGACTGAGCAATAAGCTATTCTGACCACTTTAAAATAAAATCATACTCATCGCTGGTGGTTTGGAAGAATGTGTGCACTCCAAGGCTATGTCCTCTGGGGAATGACTGGTGACACAACTTCCAAGCTACCGGCCCCCTGGCTACATGCAAGGCAAAACCATAAAACTCCCTGAACTGTGAAAACAGTTTCCAAGCCACACACAGAATTGACAGTAAAAATCTTACTGGCTTTGGGTGCTAAGCACAACTTGTGACCAGTAATGGCTTGTGTTAACCTAGGGATGACCTATAGGATGCCAGGCTGAAAGATAAAAACAAGGACAAAAATCAGGGCAGGTATATCTGAGGCTGCAGACTGGGGGCGGGGGGGAACAGACTTCATGGAATTAGTCCAGACAAATCACTAAACAAATAAATGCCCAAGCAATAAGAAGCCCTGGGTGAGTGGGTGGGATCTGTATCCAGAGTTGCTATATTACCTAAAATGTTCAGTTTTCTTTTGTTTTAAGGATTAAAAAAAAAAATTGATTGATTGATTTTGGCCGAGCCATGCAGCATGCAGGATCTCAGTTCCCCGACCAGGGATCGAACCTGCGTCCTCGGCAGTGCAAGTGCAGAGTCCTAACCACTGGACCTCCAGGGAATTCCCTAAAATGTCCAGTTTTCAAGAAAACTGTGAGGCATGCATGCAGAGAAACATGGAAAGTGTGATCTATACACAGGAAAAACAACAGGCAATAGAAAGTATTTGTGGGATATATGGGTTAAATTTAAAAATAAAATTATTTAGCTTAGTGTGTGACATACAGTAGATTAATAGGAGAATTAATAGGGAACATAGGGGAATGTGTCAGCTGAACTGTGTGCTGGTAGGTCTGTATTTCATCTCTTGAGGGTAGAAAGGAAAAAAATTCCAACCAAAGAACTGGCCCCCTTCTCATGCATATAGGCAAGTGCTCAAAGCTAACCACAAAAGGAGCTTTTTGGGTGGGAAATTAATAAGAAAAGGTGAAAGTGCTGAGAAAATATCTTCAGGTTTTGTTGTTGTTGTTCTGTAGTTACAAGGGAAACAAATATGTTTAAATTCTTTCTATTTGGCAGCCAATATAACATAACTAAAGTCCATAAATTCATTCAGGAAATATTTATTAAGTGTTTATGTGACAGACACTGTTCTGGTGTTAGGGATACTACGATGAACAAGAGTTTATTTCTAGTCTGCTTCTTGTTCAAGTTCCTATTCTCAAGTTTATATTCTAATAAGAGAGACGTAATAAATAAGACAACAAATGAAGAAGATAAATTTCATCTAGTGATAGATGCTATGAAGAAGGTAACAGCAGAATAGGGTAGTAAACAGTGGTTTGGCGTATTTGAGAACTTTGACCAATTGGCCAGGAAGGTCACTCTGAAGAGAAGCAATGAAGCTGAGATCTTGAAAACAAAAATGACATCAGCCTTCATTTGGGTGAAGAGCACGCTAGGCAAGAAAAGAGCAACTACGAAGGCTCTGAGATGTGCATTCGTGCCAACAGTAGTCCTACGTGGCTGTAGCATAAGGAGAGTAAAGATGCAGTGGTAGGAGAGGTCAGAGAGGTAGGTGGGGGCCAGATAGTGCCTTGCAGAGCATAATAAAGCCTTTAGAAGAGTTTAGGCAGGGGAGCAACACTGAATTATATTTCAAAAATCTACTTTAACCGTTGTGTGAAGAATAGGATGTAGTTGAGTAAAGGTATATATGAGGAATCCACTAGGAAGTTACTGAAATAATCCATGAGATGTGAGAGAATGATAGTAGGGAGATAATGAAAAATAAATCACTTCTCTCTGTACATACCTAGTCAATTAGAGCTTCTATTAGAATCCAAATCTGAGATGAGTGACCCATTATCTATCTAGGTCAATGTTTTGCAAGCATGTTCTTTGTTGAAAACATTTGGAAGAGTCTGAATTACAGTTTGACAGATGTCTTTACTTTAGGACTTCTCCGAACCTTAGAGAAGAGAAAATAGTCTAGAGTGTTTTGAAAAACTTGACAATGCAACCTATTTTTCCCACAGGGCATTTTGAAGGATAATTTCTCCCAGACACTAGCTTGGCAAACCATATTAGACCATGCTACATATCCCCAAAGTGTGCAATGTTTACACTTGGTTGTCCAGTCTAAATTAACATGCATATGTTTCTTGCTTTGATTATTTATAACCCTATAAATAAAACTGTGAAGCTTGAAGTACTGGAAAATTTTAAGCTTCCCTAGCTTTTTCCCTTGATTTATTTGACGGCAATCTCACCTTCTTCTCATCCCAAGCTGGGGGAGGTAAACGTTTCGACTGAGGCAGACCAACCTTGATCAACATGTTCAGATTGATTTCCTTTGGAAGAACCTAAATAACTGCCCCAGCTGATTTAGAATAATATAGATATTTTGAAAAATATTAACTGCTCCAGTCACACTCTCCTTCTGTACATAAACATGCTAAACTTAGAAGGATCAGTGAGCTGTGCTTGACAAAAGAAGCATGCAAAATTGAGGTTTGTGTATCTTCTAGCAGTCTTAATTTTGAAGCTGTGCTTGATATTTATTGGATGATAGTTCAACTGTAAAAAAGAATTAAAAGAGAGTTTGCCAAAATCATCGTGTGATAGGCAGCCTCTAAAATGGCCCCCAGTGATCTCCACTTCTTGGTATTGACACACTTATGTAATCCCCTTCCCCTGAGTCAGGGTTGGATCTAGTGATTCACTTCTAATAAACTGAATACTGCCAAAATGATGGGGGGGTGGTCCCTTCCAAGATTAGGTTACAGAAAGACCCTGGCTTCTATCTTGTTTGCTCTTTCTTTGGCTCTCTCCTAAATCCCTCCCTCTGAGGGAGGCAAACTGGCATTTGTGAATAGCCCTATGGAGAGGCCCATACATCAAGAACTGAGGAAGGCTTCCAGCCTAGAGCTGGCAAGTAGCTGAGGTCCCCAGTCTAACAAGCCCACGAAGAACTGACTGCCGGTGACTGTGTAAGTGAGCTTGGAAGCAGAGCTGCCTTCAGATGCGACCTAAGCCCCAGACCACACCGTGACTGCAGCCTTGTGAGAATCCTTGAGGCACAGGCACCAAGCTAAGCTACACCTGGATTCCTGATGACATAAACCATGAGACAGTGTCTGTTAAATCACTAAGATTTGGGATATTACTGTGTATTAATAAATAAACTAGTATGCAGTGCATATAAATTTCTCTTAAAGCAAGTGCAAAAAGTTTCAATTTTTTTTGTCTGCATAGTATGGCATGTAAGAGTACAATATCGTTGATGAAAAATTTGAATAAAGCTTTAAAACAGCCTTATTGAGGCTATTTTTTGAATGGCTCTAGGCATTGTGTAGAGCACCTTGTATAAAAGTACCCAGCAAGTATTTGTAGAATAAATACCTTCCAAGGTTTCTTTGATGCATAGGTTGCTGTCCACACTGGTCTGACCTGGAAGGCACCAAAAAACTACTACATCCAAAAGTTTATTCCCATAGTGTGCCTGGGGTTGATGTTACCCACTCCCTGCTCAATCTATTTTTTCAAGTGCCACTATTAGAATCATTAATTATTTAGATAACAAAGGTAGGGATTACCTTCCTGATAATTATTAAAATGAATAGGAGAAAGTATACCAGCTTTGTCCTACAGTAAAAAAATTGAAATGAAACACAAGATAGATAATTATAGTCAGATGAAAAAAAGAGCAATAAGCACAAAACAGGGTAGTGAAAAGGAGGAGTGGACCCCTACCCCTCAAAAATAAACTAAATAATATTTGGTTTTCTCAATAGCATATGATGATCTGATGGCATCAATGTGATATCACGAGCAACAAAGGAACAACTCTTAAAAAGAAGGTTAAAGATGTCAGCACAATTTCCCTTAGAGTACTTGTATCTGAAATAACAGGATCCTCAAAAATATCCTTAAAAGCAGCTTACAGAATAAATTATATATGTTAGCAAGAGGAATATATTGGGAAAATAAACTTTATTTTTAAGTGGTTCACTTAATGGAAAGGTGAAGTTTTCAAAGACCACGAAATACTGTTAGAAAGAAAATATCAATCTAATTTTATAGCAATTATTTCTTGAAGTGGAAATTTCCTATCTTAGTGAATTATTCACTAGAAGTGATTTTCTTTTCTGATTGTCTTCCGATTTGGAAATTAGATGGTACATATTGCTCATTTTATTAATTTTACGTTTCAAACAAGTGACTTTATAATTAATTTCTACTTCCTGTTCACTATCAAATAACGTTTTATAGCTAATGAAGTAGCATTGAACTCTAGATACATCAATGTCATTGAATTCAAAACAATGATTGTAAATAGGAGATTGTACTTACAGATTTCCATGGAATTTCTTAGAAGCCTTGCTGGAAACAGTTATCTTTTTCTCAAAGGGGAATAAAAATCCACAAATAAATTAACTGTCAGATACAGAAAAAATGAAAAACAAAAAATAAAGCAAACGTAAAAACTTTTTTTTGGTTTGTAGAAGAAAATATTTTTTAAAATGTCTTTGCAATGAATTGTTTCTCATTAAAAAACAAACTCTTGAAACATATTTAACTTCTCTTCTTACTGAAGTCTTAACCACTTTCCAGCCTGATATATCTTGATAGTAACCTAAAATTTCTTGAGCAGTTTGTTGGACAAGTGCCTTATAGTCCATCTACCTGCAAAGTTTTAAAAACAAATGACTGATGAGAATGTAATCATACAAAATTTTTTAAAATGCTGTGTTACATTTTAATACTATTTCTATGTCTGTCACATAGCAATGAACAATAACTACTTTTGGAATGCATGCATGCATGAATCTCTTCCTTTTTATTCATAGTCTTTCAAGTGAGAAAATGTGATATAGTAAAAAGAGCAGGCTTTGGCTTTGGAGTCAAAGAGACCTGGGTCAAATCCTGTCTCTGCCACAGACTAATTGTGAACCATGTTATTTCATATTGCTCTTTCCTCATTTTCTCAAGTTGTAAAGCTGGGACAATACCTAACCTGGTAGAACTGATATGAGGATTAAATGAAATAATGCACTTAAATGTCTTACCCCTTTGCCTGGCACATAATAGTTATTCAATAAATTGTTATTTCTAACAGCTAAATCATGCTTCCTTTCTCTTGTAAAGCAGCATAATCTGTTGATCATGTGTTACTGGGAATTCATCTTTTTAAAGTGAGTGGCAGTGGCAATAAATGATCTGACCCCTGCCTTCTTCTCCAAAGACAATTCCTACCTGTCTCCTTCTCTCCCACTTAGCTCCACTCATACTGACCTCCTGGCTGTTCCCCAAATACAACCAAGCAACTTCCTACCTCAGGGTCTTTGTACTTGCTGTTCTCTATGTTTTTAATGTTCTTCCCCAATATGTTCAGAGGACTGACTCCTCTTCATTGGTGTCTTTGCTTAAATGTTACCTCTTCAGAGAGGATCAAATTCACATCAATTCAACTCAAACACATTTACTGAATCCTTGCTAAGGGTTAGATATTGTGGTAGATGTGGCAAAAAAGGTTGAGTAAGATGCTGTTTCTGCTTTGAATGAGCTCAGGAAGGTGGAGTCTCATTGGTCCCTTGGCCCATCACCCAGTTTTCAATTAAGGGAAGCTGGCTGGTGTGGTGGAAAGAATATGACAACACAGAGCTGGATTCAAATCTTGGTTTTGCCACTCACCACCAGCTTTATCATTCTGAGTAAACTACTTAAACTTTGAACTTTAATTTTCACTTCTATAGATTGGGGATAGTAATACCTATCTCATGGGGTCATTGTAAGGATTAAGTGAGTTAATATATGTAGAAGTGATTGAAACAGTGTCAGGCCCCTTCTTGGTGATCAAAAAGTTAGTTTTTTTTCTTAAAATGGACACATTTACATCTACCTTAAAAAAAAAACTCTCCTAAGACCTGCCTGAATAAATCTTCTTAAAGTTTAATTATCAGCACACGTCTTCCTTAGTTCTCACCTAAAGGCCTTTAGGTGGGATCATAAATCTATTTTCTCGTGTTTAGTTCTCTGCCAAGGCACAGCACGTAGTTGACATGTATATTTGAAAAGCATTAGTAAACCATTATAATTTCTCCTTCCTAGTAGACTCATGGTTACTTCACCTTTCCTAGTAGATCTAGTCCAGAATTTTAATAATTATTAGGACTCTTCTCCAAATCCTTGTGGAGATCTCCATAGCTTTCAACCTGTGAAGGAATGAAGTGGAAGTAGAATTATTTTGATCCATGAATTAGGTAAATATATTTGATAATTTCCTTAATATTTTCTCAGTGTCCTTTATTTATACTTTATGTACTCATTTGGAAACATTTGATATATCTTTCCTCAATGAAGGAAAAACGTAGTAAGAGATACATTAAAGATAATGTTAATGAAAAAGAACCTTTAAGAAATTATCTTTTAAAAGAATAGGTTAAAAAGATACTTACGTGGAATGTGGATAAAAACGTCGAAGTTTTTAAGGTCACGCCATTAACAATCCTGGCTGGTCCCTGACCTGGGCTTGTCCCAGCATATATAACACGGTTCTTTATTTCCTACCAGCAACATACTTGATACTGAAGGCTCAAGAAATTGCAGATTTTTGGAACAAACCACTAGCATGTAAACTTCCTGCAGGGACTTTGTCTTACTCATTTTCAAATCACTAGCACTACTTACTGCCAAAATAAACATGTGTTTAATTGAACCACTCAACTAAATTTTGTAGCTTCTGGACTTTTTCATTTGCCAAGGAAAAAAGGGAAGGTTAAGCTTAGTGGGCTAGAGAGGGTGAAGAGAAGAAAAGAGCAAACAGCAAGACTACAGTTGTATCACCTGGTGATGTAACATCGGATGAGCTGGAACATATTCAGATGGAGTAATGGTCAAGGATATCTTCACCCATAGGGTCAGTGGAAAATAAACACAAACCAACACTGAGATGGCATCTTTTTCCGATACACCACTTGGTTGAAGCTGGATTCTTCGCAACTCATATCCCGTCCCAGCCTTGTAGACAGGTTCACACATGTTGTTAAGTGGGTCTTTACATCTGTTTGTATAATCTCCCTGTTTCTGGGCTGCCTGACTGGGTTCCCAATCCGTGCTGGGTCACTGCCATTGTTCCCTGGGAATCAAGGTCCCCAAGGAGTTTGTTAAGTCCCATCCCTGGCCAAACTCCCTCCTCCAATCCCGCGTCTGCTTTGAGGGTGAGGGGCCGGCTGGAAACCCAAGAAGGCCGGGCTCAGGGATGGGAAGGGGAAGGCCCTGAAGAGGAGGGAAAAAAGTGGTCGGGGGATCTGACCCCCCCGGCCGAGTCGGTGTCTCATCCGGGGAGGGGGTGCTCTGAAAGCGGAGAGGCCGAGCGTGTTGGAAGGACTGTGGCTGTAGGGCTGGCTCTCAGCGACCGAAACGGCAGCCGCCGGGGCCCCAGGTCCCCATCCCCGCCCCGTCCCGTCTCGAAGCCCCGGGAAACTGGCCGAAGGCAGCTCAGCCTGTCATATGCGCAGACCGGCCGCGCAGAACCGTGACCGAGGTGGGGAAGGCACGCGGGGTATCGACGCGGAGGTAGTTCAGAACCTCCCCGCCCAAGAAAGACCAGGAGGGAGAAACTACTCTTCCCAGCAGGGAGAGCGACCTAACGCCCCGCCCCGCCCCCTGACCCTCGCCCTGCTAGCCCCCGCCCCCGAGCGCCACGCATGCGCACCGCAAGCCAGCGCCATTTGGGTCAGTTTGAAAGGGAGCGCGGGCTCCGCGCTCGGCTGTGACGGCGAAGGAGCCTGCGAGCTAGCGGAACCTGAGGCCGGGCGGCGTCCGGGTCTGGGTGCTTTGTCACGTCTCCCGTCGGGTGGCAGGACAGGGCTTTGGGTGGAGAATTGAGGACGGGTGCGCTTTTCTCTCTTTCCAGGCCTTCGTCAGTGAGTTTGGCCGGAAAAGGGCGTGTGTTTTCGAAAGGCGTCCCATCCTTTGACAGCCCGAGGGGAGGGGTGGGCTGTCTCCCGAGGGAGGGGGCGGGATGAGAGTCCCGGTGGAAAGCGGGCAACTTTAGGGGGAGGGTCGCGGAACGGGAAGGAGAGGACCTGACCTGGACCTCGAGGCGCTGTCGGCGATTGAAGCGGGCGGGGAGGCAGGGTCTTGGGCTTTAGGGGCCGTCACCTCGGCAAAACTGGCTGCTCGCTCTTGTTGTCTGATGAATGGTTTGTGAGAAGCCTGTGTCTGGGACTGCGGTGGGGGGTGGGTGGGTGGGTGCTGGAATCCCCGAGGGGGGTGTTTCCTAGTTAAGGGCGGAAGCTTTGAAGCCGAAGATGCTCCGCTGCAGGGGCGCCAGCGATCTTCGCTTTCCAGGGTCATTAATTCTTGTCTTTTTGCTGCAGAACAAGCACATGTTCATTTTCATAACATAAAGCAGAGCTGTTATTTCTAAGAGTTGTTCTTCATTTCCTGTGAGCTATTCTCATTGGTAATTTAACGCTCTACGTTCTGTTTTTGAATGAAAGGTAGTAGAGATCTCTGGCCACTCGTGCTAACGTTCTGTTCGTCGGAATGATGGATTTCCTCTTGGAGATACACCCGGAAGTGTTAACGGAAGAAATGGTAAGATGCAGGGAATTTGCTTCCAGATAATTCTGTGGCAGAAGTGAGGAGAAGTGGGTGGATAGAGTTTCGTCGTGTTGGTAGTTGAAGCAGGATGATGGGTGCATAGGAGTTGATTAAACTTTTCTTTCTTCTTTGGTGTACTTTTGGAAACTTTGCACAATAAAAATTCAGTTGTGGATTTTCTTTTTGCCTTTTGTGAATTAAAATAAATGTTATTACCCACTTACTGAGAACTGTAATCCAACAGCTTTCCTTTTTAGGGTTTTGTTTTCGTTTTCAAGATTTTGTAAAATAAATTATAAAATCGGTAACCTGTTCTGTGTTGGGATAAGGGAGGAAACGTTTGGTCAAGTTTGTTATCCAAGCAATATTTACTTGAGAAAAGTTAAAATCATTAGTGAGAGGGGTGAAGAAAGGGCAGAGCTGACTTGGCCTAGCCATTCTTTAGAGGTATACCAATAGCATCACAGCATTCAGGGAAAGCAGAGGCTAAATAACCATTATCTTATATTCTGCTGCTGCCTTGCACTGACTAGTGTCAGCTCTGACCTTTTACTCTTTTCTTCGTAAACGGAAAACTTTCTCAGTATTTTAAAGTCAAATTTGACAGTTATTAACATTACATTAAAAGTTGTTAAAACTTTAACATTCCAAAAATTATAGCCAAAAATTAAACATTAATTTTATAACATCATAGCATGTGTTAAGTTCTAGACATTAAGCTTTCATTTTTACTTCAGAAAATCCATTGATTTAATTCTAAAAGAATGTCATATTATTTACTGAAGTAGTACCTGTTCACTCTGTTATTTCTTAGGTTTTCAAATGTAGATCCTATTGTTGCTATATTAAGGTAGACTGGAATTCTCTCAATTTTAATAATGGAAAAACAGATGAATACATTAAAGCAATTTCCAAACTATTGCCTCCTTTGAAAGAGAGGTGGGCTGAATCCATTTTACATAAGAATTGAAAATAATGAGGATAGTATCAAAAATGAATGTCAGAAAATGATTATTGACAGTGTTATTTTAGGAAAAGAACATTTTGCTAGCTCATTATATGGTAAGACTTGCAGTTTATTTCTTTATAAATGAATATTGTAAATTGTTTTGTTTTCTCAAGTCTTGGGGGAAGGGGTTGGCTAAAGTTACAAATTGGCATTTAAAATGTTGAAGGTGGGTATTCTCCATTGTTCCTTCTTGTTTCAGCTACGTCATTTGATGCCTTTTAAAAATTTATCAAGCACTTACTATGTGCAGTGCGTGGTGGTAGGCTTAAGAATTGAAAAATATTTTGTATAGGGGAATGTTAGGTATTGTGATGTCATAGCCTATATCAGCATAAGAAAAGACTGTACATCGTAGTTTTTAGGACTTTAAAAAAAAAGTGAGTATTCTTCCCTTGGTACTTTCTATACATAGTCTTAGATGATTTTTGTATCCATAATTCCAGGCACATAATAGGTGATCAATAAATGTTTTCTAAATTGATGATGAAGGAATACACAGTAATTAAAACAGATAATCTATAATGTGCATTACCTAAAAATAATTTATAGATAATGGATTTTATTTTTTAAAGAAAGTTATAAAACGTTTACAGATTTAGTAATTTCTCTGTGTATAGCTATTATTCCTTTTAATTGGAACTTTAACCTTTTGTTTTTGTATTACAGTTGTTTCTAAGAGAAATGAGTGGAAATAACCCATTTTGAGGAAGCCATGGCAAAATTAAATACAAAGCGCAGAGTTTGTTCTCGGGAATCTTCAGTATCTTCTCTGTTAGCAAGCTGCAACCTGAGTGGTAGTAATTCCTCTAACTCTGATGGCTCTTTTCAGTATAAGGATAGACTGTACAGTTCTGCATCTCAGGCTCTACAGGCCTATATTGATGATTTTGATCTAAGCCGTATGTATCTTGGTGCAAGCACTGGAAAGATTAACATCGATAAATGTTCTGCTAATATGCCAGAATTCTCCAACTATGTTTATAAACCAAAGAATGGTATGCTTTATTCTTTGTTTTCTTTTTGCCTACCGATTTAAAGCATTTTGAGAGATGTATTGTAGCCTTGGAAAACTAAATGCTTCTTTTGGGGTAAAAATGACTTGTAATATTGAGATCTGGTTATATTTCTTAAATGATTCTGTAATTTTCTGGTTCTCAGGGGTTTTCAGGTAAGATCCCCTTTTGACCTTAGAGGAGAAGCTCATGAAATGTAACTAATAATAGTAGATGGCTGATCCTAAACCCTTAAGCCGTTCTATTATAGCATAACAGAAATAGCATTGACTTGGTGGTTCTAGCTTCCATTAACTAGCTTAATGACTTTAAACAAATCTCAGCCTTTCAGAATTTATACTTGATCAGTTCCAATTGATGGGCTAGGGCTATGTTAGTCTTCCTGATCTGTATTCTGTAGGACAGTAATATTCACAAGATGTTAAGGGTTTTTCCTTGGTTTCCATGAATACAAGTTTGGAAAATGCATCTGTTGATAATCCAGTTAACACTTTACTGAGCACTTACAGAATGGCCCCTAGTGTGGAAAAAGGTTACATTCTGCTCTTAGAAGTGGAGAATATATTCCAGAAGGAAAAATGGCAAACATGATTCTTAATTCTTAATTTTCATTTACTGTTGAATATTATAAAGTATTTTTATATGTGATACAGGAAGGTAAACAGAACTATGCTTTGTTTTTCAGCTTTTGAAAATCTTGATGACAAAAAAGATTTGTCCTTATCCTGTAGAGGACAGACTATTAATGACATGGACTCCATTAGCCTAACAACTGATGATCTATTAAAACTTCCAGCAGATGGATCATTTTCTTTCACTTATGTTGGAGCAGGTCATGGAATTAGCAAGAAAAGCAAAAAACATACTGGAAGACTGAGTTCATCCAACAGTGAAAAGAATCAAAATTTTCAAGAACCAGCCACTCTCCTGGGCAAGGATAACTTAGTCACCCCGGTTGTATACACAAATGTAAAAGGAAAGCAGTGTGGTAGGCTGAAAAACCCAAAACTTGTGAATAAGGTTAATAAATGTGTTTCTGTACCATCTTTATCTTTTAACAAGAAATCATCTTTTAGGGACAGTCCAGAACACAAACTTGAAAAGAATTACCCAAGATGGCTCACTAGCCAGAAGTCTGACCTTAATGTTTCAGGGATAACGAGTATACCGGATTTCAAATACCCACTCTGGCTCTACAATCAAGACTTGCTGCCCGATACAAATAGTCAAAGGATTTATCAAATATTTAAAGAAGATCACTGTTCCCCTAGGCATAGTTACCAGGCACAAAGAACTTCTCAGCTAATGAATAAATTAGATTGTTTTGAATATTCTTTTGAACCGTCAAACAGTTCACATTCCTTGAGTGATGATAAAGGATTAGTTAATGAATATGAATGTGATTCTGAACATAGCCAATGTCAGTGTGACAATCCACTTCTCCCAGGATCCAAAAAGCCATTCAGTGGTAATTGTTTTGTTTTGTTGTTTTTAAGAACCAAAGAAAGTGCTGTAAATTTGACCTCACATCTAGGAGTTTTTATGTCATATTCTTGATGTAACCATCAAGTGATATATCTATTTTGAACTCTTATGGTCTTCATTTACGTAGCATTTTGTGACTGGAAAATGTCTTTTCTTTTTTTCTTTGTGTCACAACAGAGGTCACATTTTTTTTTTTTTTTTTGCGGTATGCGGGTCTCTCACTGTTGTGGCCTCTCCCGTTGCGGAGCACAGGCTCCGGACACGCAGGCTCAGCGGCCATGGCTCACGGGCCCAGCTGCTCCGCGGCATGTGGGATCTTCCCAGACCGGGGCACGAACCCATGTCCCCTGCATCGGCAGGCGGACTCTCAACCACTGCGCCACCAGGGAAGCCCCAGATGTCACATTTTAACATAGCTTGCTGTTACAGATATGTGTATATTCCAAATTATCTGAATTCTTGTTGCCTTTGTGAGGTTTTGCTGTGCTTTGCATTTATTTCTTTTCTTAAAGAATTAATGTGATCTTTTAAATTAGGTGACAGAATTGAATTGCTTATCCTGAAGGCCAAGAGAAATCTAGAGCATTGTACTGAAGAATTACCGAAGTCTATGAAGAAGGATGACAGTCCTTGTTCATTAGATAAACTTGAAGCAGAAAGATCATGGGAAAATATTCCTGTTACTTTGTAAGTAAGTTACAATAGAAAAACTATTCAGTTTTCCAAATGAAGAATGTCATGTGAACATCTGATTTATCTTTTAAATTACAATGATAATTAACAGTGGTAATAACATGGTAATTCTGTAGAGCATAGCTTTCAGTGTTGCTTGCTTTAAATTGCATTTTTCATTTGTTACCACAAGATGGCGTAATATTTCATAATCTTAGGTACATTATATAATTTTTGTCTTTGTTACATGGTCCTTTTGTTGCACTGTAAAATATTAATATATATTAAATATGAGGAATTAGAACCAAAAGCAACTATTTTGCAAATGGAGAAGGCTTGAAATTCTTGTTACTTTTTTTACTTTAAGTGTTTTCTTCCTCTATATTCTCTCCATGTATTAGAGTTATTCATTTCTTTTCATTTACAGTTTACTTTCTTAGTCATTATTTTCTGTAAATAATGGTGCATTTTCTTGTATGGTAAATGTTTGCAGTTTCTAAGATTGTTTTCATTTGTGTACTTAACCTTTCTATGCCATAGTTTCTCAGAATAATTTAAAAAGTGTTTGCCTAGATACCCGTGAATGTGAGTATAGAGGAGGAATCGAGAGCTTAGGTAGGAAAGTTTCTTTTAGTGATATTATTACACGTATATTCATCAGAAATGCATTCTTGGTAATCCTGTGTCCTCCCTTAGGCTCTGATAATTTATTATCTTCAGTTGTCTAAGCCTTCATTCTGTTACGGACAGTCAGTTAATTCCTGAATCCTTTTTTTGATTCCTTCTCAGTTGAACATCTTATTCTTTTGTAAGTGGACACTGACTAATTCTAGTTTGGAATCTTGGCTCTGTCACTTCCTTGCTGAGACTCTGTACAAATCACTTCTACTTTGGGGTTGTGAGGATTCAGTTGATTAGAAAATAAATATATGGCACTATTTACAATAGCCAGGACATGGAAGCAACCTAAGTGTCCTTCAACAGATGAATGGATAAAGAAGATGTGGCACATACGAACAATGGAATATTACTCAGCCATAATAAAAAGTAAAATTGAGTTATTTGTAGTGAGGTGGATGGACCTAGAGTCTGTCATACAGAGTAAGTCAGAAAGAGAAAAACAAATACCGTATGCTAACACATATATATGGAATCTAGAAAAAAATATATGGTTCTGATGAACCTAGGGGCAGGACAGGAATGAAGATGTGGAGAATGGACTTGAGGATAAGGGGAGGGGGAAGGGTAAGCTGGGATGAAGTGAGAGAGTAGCATTGACATATATACACTACCAAATGTAAAATAGATAGCTAGTGGGAAGCAGCCGCATAGCACAGGGAGATCAGCTTGGTGCTTTGTGACCACCTAGATGGGTGGGATAGGGAGGGTGGAAGGGAGACGCAAGAGGGAGGGGATATGTGGATATATGTATACATATAGCTGACTCACTTTGTTATACAGCAAAAACTAACACACCATTGTAAAGCAATTATATTCCAATAAAGATGTTAAAAAAAATAAGTAAATATAAGGTACTTAGGACAGTTTCTGATTTATGATGCTCTCTTAAAAATTTTAATAGTGGCGATGATCATCCAGAGTATTTTTTGTTTGTTTAGCTTCATTTCGCACTTGTTGGTTCATTAATATCTTTAAAAAAAAAAAACTTGGGTTAATAATTAGCTCACTTAATTCTTAAACTTATCTTTCATCTTTACTAATTTCTTATCTTCTTATCAGTTGGTTGTATTTGTATCTGTATTTGTAAAGTCCTATAGCTGCAATACTTTGCTTTCAAATGGAACCAAAGTGGGTGAGCAAATCATATCAGAGATGCTTAAATTAAGAGTAAAATTTTTGAATGCATCAAATGTATTTTGTAATTAGATACTATGACTTCTAACTTGTATAATTATTATTAATGGTTTGCCCTAGTACCTTATGGTACAGTAGTTGATTTTTGGAAGACTAAATTCATATTATGATGGATATGTTTTACATTAAATTAATGATGGTGTGAGAAGAAGGAATAGACCTTACTTCACTGTGATAATGACAAATTATTATCAATCTGTCATCAGAAACAAAATTGACTGGGAAATACTCCAAGTAGTGTACTGAGAGATAGAATAACTACAACCAGACAATTTTTTTTTTGGCTTAACTTTTTATAATGGAAAATTTCAAACAAATACAAAAGTATAAGAATAGTATAATGATTCCCTATGTATCCAGCACCCATCTTCTATAATGAGGTAAATGCTTTTTTGTTGATAGTTGGTGGATGTACAAACTCTTTGGTAAAGAATGGGAGAAAAGACTACTTGGAAGCGAGAAAAAGTTCCTAGTAAATTACAAATCAAATGAGTCAATAATGAAGTGCTGCTAATTATTGAGAAAAAAGCATTATTACATTTAAATGTTTTAAGAAGATTCTTAGATATCTGAGTACTTGAGTTAGAGATACATCTTATATTGATATATAAATGAAAAAGATAAAATGAGTTTCTTTATTCTCTGTAACTAATAGAATTTGGTTTGGGGAAAATTTTTACTCTTGCTGGGGATCCCCTTTCCTTCTGCTTGAACATCAAGATAGAAACTATTATTTATTGAGCTCTATTCAACGTACCAGGTATATAGAGTTAATTTATGCAATACTTCTGTGACATGAGTGGGACTACAAATGTAGAAACTGAAGTTAAGATAAAGTTTTGTGAAGTCATATAAGTGAGTGGGACTGGTATTTGAACTCAGGAATTTTAATTTCAAAATTGATCCTTCTCCCACTTTAATCTGTCCTCTATATTAATCTGTGCCAGTTCTGGGGGAGAAGTCTGTCCTATTGCTTTGACGTAGAAGAGCATGTAACTGCCATCCCAGTAGAAACTGTTAATAAATTTCTGGCAGTTTTGTGTATTAATATTGAGTAACTAACAGTGTTTAATTGGAAAAATGCACTGCTTATTTCAAGCAAATGAGCTTTTGGAGGATACTTATATTTGAAGGCTTATTTGTTTAGTTGAAGACTAATGTCTTCAGTTTCTATATAGTTTTTCCTTAAAGCTTTAAAGGAGAAGCAAGGAGATAGGGCGGGATGAAGGAAGAAGTTTAGGGAGAAGGTGAAGGAATCACTAAGCAGCATCAATATGAATCCTAATGCTTATTTAGTGGTGACCACTTTAAATGATAACCATCAGTTTTATACTGTCTAATTTTTGTAAATTGGGAACTTATTTGCTGTCTCGTATCCTTAAATCCTAGCAAATCTCCTGTTCCGGTTAACTCTGATGATAGTGTTCAACAAACTTCAAGGGCAAAGTATGCTGACGGGTTCCTTGAAGACTTTTTAAATAATGATAATCAGGTGGGTGATGTTAAATCTTTTTAACTTATTAAAAGAATATTTATGACTAATATATATGGATATTAATTTCTAAGTTATTTAGATAGTATAAAACAAAAAATGACTCAAATCCCTTCTTCCCCAACACACATCCATAAAACCATCACTCCTAGAATTATTGATAATTTTATTTTAGTATTCTAAAGTAGAGTGATCTGGGATTGAACTCTACAGGGAGCCTAAATTGTTATTACAATGTTTTTTTTTTTTTCCTTCTGGAAAACATACAAAACAGAATCTTATAGAGTAAATTATATTTTCCCATAGGGCGGTTGCTTATTGAGAGTTATGTTTCTAAGATGCAATTATACATCCCTATGATTTAAAATGGGAAATTTGGGCTTCCCTGGTGGCGCAGTGGTTGAGAGTCCGCCTGCCGATGCAGGGGACACGGGTTCGTGCCCCGGTCCGGGAGGATCCCACATGCTGCGGAGCAGCTGGGCCCGTCAGCCATGGCCGTTGAGCCTGCGCGTCCAGAGCCTGTGCTCCGCAATGGGAGAGGCCACAACAGTGAGAGGCCCACATATCGCAAAAAAAAAAAAAAAAGGGAAATTTATTATCCAGTTTTATAAAATCAGCATATGTGTATCTTGCAAGTAACCCTAAAATGAAGTGTAAATGTGTATATATACACATGGGGAATGATATATAATATGATTTAGAAGTATAAGCCATGGCTGTTAAATATTGAAATACACTTTTGATATTTTAACATCTGGAAGATTTGAGAGATTGAACACTCAAAACAAAAATTAGCTAAAAATTTTAATACAATATATATCTTTTCCTTCAGTGAAATTTACTAGAGAAAGTAGAGGCTGTCAGAATATGTCTGACCTTAGAGGTTTTTTTTTTAATATTTATTTTGTCCGTACCTGGTCTTAGTTGTGGGATGCAGGGTTGCAGACTTCTTAGTTGTGGCATGCATGTGGGATCTAGTTCCCCAACCAGGGATTGAACCCGGGCCCCCTGCATTGGGAGTGCAGAGTCTTACCCACTGGACCACCGGGGAAGTCCCTGACCTTAGAGCCCTGTATAAGATACTATAGCAGATGCTGATTAAGGGAAGCTTAATTATCAAATATTTATTTGCCAAATATTTGGGTACCAAGCACTTTTCTAGGAACTGTATTCCTAACAGTAAATAAGAGAGAAGAAACCTTGCATCTTGGATTTTTTATTCCAAATTGGAGAGATAAGCTATATCAAAATGTAATATATGAGGGAATACTACAAATGTTATGAAGAAAAATTACTGGGGATAGAGAAATTTTAACTAGAGTAGGTAGGAATCGCCTCTCTAGTGAGGTGATATTTGCACCAAAACCTAAAATGAGTGAATAAGCTGTGTGTGTACCCATAGGGAAGTAACTTTACATGTAGAGGGAATAGTAAGGGCAGAAACCCCAAGGCAGAAAAGTGTTTGGCATGTTCAAGGAATATCAGAGTCCAGTCAGTGTAGCTCAATCAGAAAGAACAAGGAAGAATGGTTAAGAGATAAGATGGAGAGGTAACCAGGAGTCAGATCATGTAGCTATGTAAGTAATGGAATGAAGATTTTATGTTTTATTTCAGCGAGATGAGAAGTCACTGGAGTACTTTGGAGGAATGAAATTATCAGATCTACATTTTAAAATATAAACAGGCAGCTGTATGGAACATAGACCTTGAAAGGAGCTAGAGAAGGACAGGGAACCCAGTTAGGAGGCTTTTGCAGTCTTCCAGGATAGGGATTGTAAAGGCTTGGGTTAGGCGGGTACATTGGAGATGGTCAGAAATAGTTAGACTTGGGATGTGTTTTGAAGGTGACCTTGTAGGATGGAGATAGAGAGCATTCAAAGGATAAGTCCAAGATGTTTGAGCCAAGCAACTAAAGGATTGGGTGGTGCAATTTACTTGGGTAAGGAGAGCTGGTAGAGGCACAAATTTGCATACGTTTTTCAAAGTTTGAGATGGATGACTGTTAAATACTAACCAACTAATCCCTTTTCTTATGCCTTTACACACACAGCCTCACTACCACGGTGTTTTTTTATTTTTAAATAATTTTAGATATACAGAAAGTTGCAAAAATAATACAGGTCGTTCCTGTCACCCTTTTCCCAGCTTCCCTAATGTTAACATCTTATATCATAATGATCACATAGGCCCAATACTGTTACCTGAACTACAGACCTTATTCTGATTTCACCAGTTTTTCTACCAATGTCTTGTTGCGGGATCCAGCATTGCATTTAGTTGTCATGTCTTCTTAATTTACTTCAGTCTGACAGTTCCTCAGTCTTTCCTTGTCTGTCATGACCTTGACACTTTTTCAGAGTTACTGGTCGTTGGTTTTTTTGTAGATAGTTCCTGAATTGGGTTTATCTGAAGTTTTCTCATGATTAGAATGAGGTTATGAATTTTTGGCAAGAATGCAACAGAAATCATGCTGTGCCCTTCTCAGTGCATCATATCAGAGGGTTCATGATATATTGATATCATTGGTAATATTGATATGTTCCTTAGTTCAGGCTGCTATAATAAATATGCCTTAGACCAGTTGGCTTAAACAACAAACATTTATTTTTCGCAGTTCTGGAGACTGAGAAGTCCAGATGAAGGTGTCTGGTGAGATCCTGCTTCCTAGTTTGCAGATGGTCATCTTCTCCTTGTATCTTCACATGGCCGAGAGCAGAGAGGGTGAAAGCTCTCTGTTTCTCTTCTTATAAGGGCACTAATCCCACTCATGAGAGTTCCACCTTTATGACCTAGTTACCTCACAGAAGCCCCTCCCCCAAATACTGTCACACTGAGATTAGGCTTCAACATTTGAGTTGTAGGGGGACACAAACATTCAGCCCAGAGCAATATGTTAATACAATAATATGTAATATATAAAATTATAATATATTAATACTTGTGATGTTAGTCTTGAACACGTGGTGCCTACTGGTTTTCTCTTTAGTAAAATCATGGTTTCCCCTTGTAATTAATAAATATCGTAGGGGAGATACTGTGAGACTATGCAAGTAGTCTCAAACTTTCATCTACTAATTTAGTATCCATTGGTGGATATTGACTTTTTGTCTGTATTATTAATTGGAATTCTTGTGTAATGAAGAGCTATTCCTTTTCCCCCATTTATTTATTAAACTATTTATATTAGGACTCATAGATATTTATTTTATTCTAGGTTTAATACAATACAATATTATTACTTATTTTGTTGCTTAAATTGTTTTAGTTTAGGCCATAAAGAGTTGCTTCAGGTTGGCTCCTGTGTCCTTTTGACATGTCCCTATGCTTTTCTGAGCACTTCTCTGAGGAGCCATGGTTCTTTTTATTGGAAAATGGTATTTAGAAACTAAGATCTAGGCACTAGGTGTGCTTATTGCTGCTGGGTTTTTATTTATTCTAGACTTTCTCAGCAGCCAGACTTAGGAAACATAAGTTTACTAAGCCATGCATACACACATACTTATTTGTATATCTGTTTACATATATATATTTTATATGTAGGTATAAAATCATGAGTTCGTACTGATACTACTTATTCCAGTCCAATACCACAGGGTTTGTTTTAGCCCCTCTGTTCCTTATTTGTAACTTCTTTCTCATCTGGTGAGAATCTTTACTCTTATTATCTATAATAGATTTACTTATTTTTTCAGTCTTAGCATATGCATAGTTTCAGAATTGCTAACCCATACTGCTGTAAGAAACACATTTACTAATTAGATTATATTATTTGTGTATGGTTCTTTTTGTCTTTTACCTTACAATATCCAGTCAAAATATTCTTTTCCAAGGTTACCGTGGTTAATTATTTTCTGCCCAACTCCTTTCAGTGTGGTCATGTTGTTCATTTGTAATGCTGTTAGGTGGCTCATTTTTTTATTGTGTAAATTGGGTTATTCCCACATTTTATGTGGTTTAAATAATTGTTTTTTGAATACATGAAACATTACTATAGTTCTGAGAGTCAGAGCTGTACTATACAGAAAGACGTACTTAGAGACATTCACTACAAGGATTTAATGAGAAGTCTCAGAACAAATTCTGTCAAACATGCCAACGTTTATTAAACATTCATTCGTGAGTGGCACAGAACAGTTCATATAATCTGTTTTGTAGTTTTCTTTTTTGGTACTCTGACCAGAATTTTGCCTGAAAAGTTCACTCAAGGCAGACATAGCAAATTGCAGAGGCAAGCTTTTGTAACTTTTGTGGTTGGCATTAGGCAACCTGAATTTCTTCTAAACCAGTGGCTGGATGCAGATCATTTAGAGATAATGCCTCAGGTGCTGTCTCCAAGGTTGTAGGAGTATAAGCGGAACTGGATCCTTATGCCCTGTTTCATTTTCTTTCTTTTTAAATTTTGGTAAAGTATATATAATATTTACTATTTTGACTTTTTCTTTTTTGTGGTACACGGGCCTCTCACTGTTGTGGCCTCTCCCGTTGCGGAGCACAGGCTCTGGACACGCAGGCTCAGTGGCCATGGCTTACGGGCCCAGCCGCTCCACGGCATGTGGGATCTTCCCGGACCGGGGCACGAACCCGTGTCTCCTGCATCAGCAGACGGACTCTCAACCACTGCGCCACCAGGGAAGCCCTGACCACTTTTAAGTGTATAGTTCTGTGCAATAAGTACCGTACCTTCACATTGCTGTGCAACCATCACCACTGTCTATCTCTAGAACTTTTTCAGCTTTACCAACTGAAACTCTACCCACTAAACACTAACTCCCCATCCTCCTTTACCCCCAGCCTCTGCTAGCACCATTCTACTTTCTGTCTCTATGAATTTGATTATTCTAGGAACCGTATATGTTTTAGTCTGCTGAGGCTGCCATAACAAAATACCATAGGCTGGGTGGCTTAAACAACAGATATTTGGTTCTCACAGTTTTGGAGGTGGGGGAATCTAAGATCAAGGTGCTGACTGATTCTGTTACTGGTGAAGGCTCTCTCTCTGGCTTGCATACAAGCCACCTTCCCACTTTGTCCTCACATGTCCTTTCCTTGAGCTCTTAAGTGTCTCTTTATGAGGATATTAATCCTATGGTTTCAGGGTCCCACCCTTATAACCTCACTTAACCTTGATTACCTCCTTATAACCTTATCTCTAAATACAGCCACATTCAAGGTTAGGGCTTCACCATGAATTCTGGGGTGGGGGACACAATTCAATCCATAACATCTTATAAGAAGACTCATACTATATCATTCCTTTTGTTACTGGCTTATTTCACTTAACGTCTTCAAGGTTCATCCATGTTGTATCATCTGTCAAAATTTCCTTCCTTTCTTAGATTGAATAATACACCATTGTGTGTATGTATCATGTTTTGTTGATCCATTTATCTGTTGGTGGACACTTACGTCGCTTCCGCCTTTTGACTATTGTGAATAATGCTGCTATGAACATAGGTGTACAAATATCTGCTTGGATCTGTGCTTTCGTTTCTTTGGGGTGTATACTCAGAAGGGGAGTAGCAGGGTCATTGTGGTAATTCTGTATTTAGTTTTTTGAGGAATTACCATACTGTTTTCTACAGGAGCTGCACCATTTTATTACGTTCCCACACCTTGTTTCTTATACCTTGTTCATATAACTGTGGAGAGTGCCTTTAAAATCTTTTTGGCCACTGTGCTTAACTTCGTATATATGTTATACTGTCCATGTTGAAATATTTTAAATTATAGACATCTTAAGAGGCCTATTTTCCACTTTGTGGATGATTATCAGGACACAGCAACTCATTTGAAAGATGTAAAAATAAAGGTAAGACTTTAAAAAAGAAGTTTAAAAATATCCTGTACAGGTTCTCTTAACTGACTACCTTATGTGGCTAAGTGCTGTTGCCTTCTTTGGATGCAGATAAGATCAGTGGTAATCGAGGTGTGAGTGTTTTTAAGGTAGCAAGGAATGTGTGGTCCATAAAGAGGTGAAAAACCAGCATTCCCTGTGTGAAAACGCATTTGGAAGTGTGCAGAGAATATGATATTTGAAATTCTAGTCCTTGTTCAGCTGATAACCAGCATCATTTACACACTTGAAAAGAGCATATTGACCTCCCTGCTCTCTGAGGACCTTTCAGTTCGAAAAATCTATAATTTTAAATGTACTAAGTGAATGCATTGCAAATGTAAACATGTACCATTCATTTTAAAAGAACAAGGACTGGGAAGGATGTGCCAAGCTGTTAATAGTGATTGTCTTTAAGTGACTGGGTAAGGGGAGGTTTATGAGTTACAGTTTTGATTTGTTGGAACACTTTATTGACATGTATTGTTTGGATTTTGCATTAATTTATATTGTGGGGAAATAATACAAAATAGAACTTTTCCCCTTCTGAATTTGGATGGTTCATGATTCATCTGTTTTAACTTCTAGAGCTGTACCCTTTCTGGAGGGAAACACCATGGTCCTGTTGAAGCCCTGAAACAAATGTTATTTAATCTTCAAGCAGTGCAAGAAAGTTTTAATCAGAATAAAACCACAGAGCCAAAAGGCGAAATTAAACAAGTAAGCACAAACTTAATTTATGAATTGAAATCTATGAATGTGAATTGAGATCTGTGAAGGATAAGATTTCCTCCTAGATCTTTCTTAGCCTCACCTCTAATTTTATGTTAATAAACATGGTATGTAACACATGTCGTAGAGTTGTACTGTTGTTATTCTTTTTTTTAGAAAGTAACTTACTCAAATTTAATACTGTAAGATTTTTGCAGTTGTGTACCCCTGAATGGATTGTTCTATTAAGTTCATGGTTATAAATACAACATTGTATTTAGATATGATGTTATTAAAACTGTAGATGAAAGAATTGTAAGAGTTGTTTTTTAATGCCCTACAAAATTATTCTGTGTAGTCCAACTTCCTGTGTTTATATTTGAGGTGGCCTAGAGAACCTTTCAACATTAGACTTCTCCCCATAACCTTTGTCATCTGAAGTTTAATTTTGTTACCATGTGTTTATTGACTCTTAATACGGTTATGTAAAGTTTTATTTTAAAGTAATTGTGTTTTTGTGTATTTCCTAGGAATTTGGAAATCTGTTTCTGCTTTGGGCTGATATTTCATAGGGGTCGAATTTTCCTCACAGTAGTATAGTGTTTACAAACCTAGCTTATGTTCTTCCAAGCCTGATTGTGAATTCTAATTCTGCCACTTACTAGCAAGTGCAGTATTTGTACAGATCACTTAACCTCCTTAATTCAGTTTCCTCTTCTGTAAAATGAGATTGTTGAGAAGACAAATTGAAACAAACTATAGAAAGTACTTATTATAGTCCTTGGCACCTGGTAAAAACTTAATACCTGGAAAATACTTAATACATTTTAATTGATATTGTTTATTTTGTTATTCAGTAGAGCTTTACAAAATTCAGTTTTCATTACAAGTGAGTGTACTAGATTTTAGGAACTATCACATGCTACTCACTTAAGTTGTATTTCTTAATTTTTCTCCTTACATTCTAACGATCATAACACTAACATACAGTGCAATCCATCCTTCTTTTCCTTCCCCTTTTAAACATTCTTGAGATAAAGCCTTGTTCAGTAAAGTCATAATTTCAAGCCAAGATTTGATATTTAATGAACAAACATTTTGAAGCATACTTCAGGACAGTTGCAAGATGAAAAAGTTGTAGTATTTTTAGAATAAAATATATATATATATATTTAATGCTTTACTGAAAATTATTTGCTTAGAATTATTTCCTTGGGAATGCGGACAATATTTTTAATGTTCTTATTAATCACACATATTAAATAGCATATAAGTTTATAATTATATAATATTTTCAGTTTTATTATATTTGGTGTTTTTAATAATAGGTTTCAGAAGATGATTTCTCTAAATTACAGTTGAAGGAAAGTATGGCTCCTGTTAATAGGTCACTTCAAAAGTAAGTGTTCTCTGTTAATTTCTGAGTATGTTATGGATACAAACATCTCTGATTGAAATCAGAAGGTTACAGAATGGAATTAAAGTAGCTGGAAGAGGAGGTGTGCTAGGTATATTTAAGATTCTTGGAGCATAATTTTTAATCCTGAGATTTTCTCTTAAATTTGCGCTATTTTCTATTTAAAATGTTCTTAGGACCTAATGAGATAACTGTAGACACTAAAAATATAATAGATGTGAATGGCCTAGGGAAAATATCTTTTCATTTCTGAGTAATACCAACAATTTGAGATAGTATTGGTGTGGATATTCTGGAAGAACAACTTGCACGTGAAATGTGTTGTCATATATGCCCTCTAGAAGAGATAAATAATCCTAAGTAAGTATATCATTATTTGACATATCGCCACAGAAATTTAAGTGGATATAATGTCCTGGATATAAAGATAGGTCTAAATGCCCTAAGGTGTTAATCTACTTATTTTCTTAGTTACATATCTTAAAAAGTTGGGAAGAATTTCCTATAGTCATGATATTGGTAGAAGAGACGGGTATTTATTTTATAGATTTGATTGTGTGAATATGAAGCGCCCTTACGCATATGAATGTGTAAGATTTTGTAATTCTCAATACTAAAGGCCATGCTGTGAAAACCAAACTTAATGATAGCTGGAAAGTTGTCTCATTTCTCAGATCTCTTTTCTTGCTCAATTTTCTGGTCTTCGTTCTACACTAGGGATAGACAGAATTAGCTCTCAGACTTGCAAAACTTGACCCTAAAGCAAACATTTTTCTTTACTCTAATGTGCTCATATTTTACTTAGATCTAGGAAATAGTGGGCAGTTTGTTCTGAAAAGCCTTTCATTCAGTTCTTGCTGGATTCTAGGCTGAATAGAGGCCAGTAAACATAGTATTTAAGAGAATAGCCAGTATAGTAGTACTAGTAGAAAAACAAATGTAAGATGTCAATGGGTAAAGTATAGCTAAATTGCCATCGCATAATCAGTGTTACTGAGTTTCTGTGGGTTGATTGGTATTTACTTGAATGATCATCAATAGATACATTGTCACAATAAGAAATGAGTTTTTTAATTTCAGTTTTGAAGGTGAATGACTATTCAATGTTGTAATACAACCCTTAGGTTGATGTTTTCCCCATTAGCCTGCTTTTTCACTTTTTGAGAGAAGAAAATCAAGAATAATTTCCTTCTACAATTTTATCCTTCCCTTCTCCCTACACTTAACTTTGAAATACCAATCACTTTTGATAGACTCTTCTCTAAACAGATCGCTTTATTCTCAAAACGGGAGATAGAGGTTAGATGAAAGGAACTGCCAAATGATTGCGTAGCTGAGGTAGGGAGACTGAAGATTTCACACTTCTACTTAGCTTTTTTATTCCTTCCCATTATTACCCACTCCCCTTTCTACGTGACATTTTGTTTTAAAGACATAAAATATACTACATGGGATTAGAAAGGAAACCAGTTATAGTGAATTAACTATGAAAATATTAAAATACATTTCTAATTAGTAATATATGCTTCTCTTTATTGCATTTAAAATAAGACAATACATTTAAAATACAGGTAAGTTAAAATTCATTTTGTAAAAACATGTATTAGTGTGAAGGCCTTTTGCATAACTTGAATAAAAGCATTAAACCATGGTGTGCTCTTTTACTTACCTTTCACATATTGATCAGCAAACAATTAAAGAAAGGGAATATTGGAAGGCATTGATGTCTGGGTTACCAGTGAGACTTCACTATTTGGAGGATGAAAACTAGACTTAAAGTTGTCTAATAGTTGGCCAGTTATGTCATACGAACTTTTGGACTGTAGACAGAAAGACTTAGAGGACGTATGTTTTAGCAGTGGGTTTAATAACTGTTGTAATTTTGTAACTATTATATAACTATTGTAATTTTGAAGTAGTGATGAGTATAAAACATACTTGCAATGACTATAATGTGATATGAAAATACCTCTGATTTCTATGGCATATGAGGTCACAGATTTTGGCTGTTGCTTACATTCATAATGGAAGGAAATGCTAATTTAAAGATAGCATTTTGTGAAAATAAAGATGATTTTTTTCCCCATCCAATTTCATAGACCCTCTAAATCTAAAGGATCTGTTGACCCTCCGATTTGTAAACAGTAACATCAGATTCTAGCCACTTGTCATCTTCCTTCTCTAGAGTCACAGCCTGAAAAGAAAAAAGGAAGATAAGCCCCAAGTATATTTACAGATTATTTTCTTCCTCGTAAATATGTCTGTAGGAAGAAAATAATTCTTTAAGTAGAGAGATGTTAGGATGTAGAAATAATAAAGTCTAATTTTACCTCTGATTGCTTAGTAACTCTGGGTGAGTTATTGTCATTTAGTTAATGAAGATGACAATCTCAGAAATTAACAGAAGCTGCCAAAAGGATGGCAGAATTCAGATTCTTAATACATTTGAGTAGAAGTGTGTAAGAAATAGAGTACAGGAAAATAGACGTAATGCAGTAATTAACACTACTAATTTCCTCCCTCTCCTTATCCTTGGTAAAGTGGAAGATGTATTTTATTTAATGTACATCAATTGAACCTGTGTTGGAGACTAGAATAAGGTGTTGTAGTCACCACCTTTCAGTAACTTCTCACTAATTTCTCACCTTAGAGATTCTGGTATATTATTTCTGTTTTTCTTGGTCTCTTATTTATCAGAGATCTGAAATATGGTTGATTAACTGATATTTTTGAGTGATCCTCAAGGATCTGAAGGGTAAGGGAGAAGGAAAGCTGGAAGAATACTTTTAGAGGAAGACTGGAAAGTTAAGGGCTCCTATCTTCTTGGTTTGTCTGAGGGATGATTGAGAAAAACCAGGTTGTTGATATAATACTGTATTATTCAATGTAATTGTCATTTGTTTTCCCCCATGCTCAATAAAAATGAGTTTTCCTCAATTGTAACTGATTCTTTAGTGCTATTTAAATTTAGCTGCCTTGATTGTACATGTTAAAAATGAATTATGTCCTTTATTTCTTAAATGATACACACAGTATATCAGAAGGTATCATTTCATTCTGCAAAGTACATGAAAAAGATGCTTTAAGTGCGACACAAGTGATACCTATTATTGTTTCTTATTAGGCTACTTGGCACACTTTAAAAAAAAAACCCTTAAATGTCAAACATATAATTTTTTTAAGTAAGTGTTTATAGAATTTTAGATGAATTATTTTAACCCTCAGTTATTCAGATTGCAAGGTTTTGTAAAGAAAAATTTTCAGTTTTGATACTAAAACTATTCCATAAACTTATCTCTCATACTAATTTTGAAGTTAAGAAACAATATAATCACCATTTCTTTTTGCATTACCTATTCAGTCCTTAATATTGGTTTATAATGTGTTTTATACTTTTTAATGAAGGGCTTTGCAACATTTATCTCGCCTGAGAGACCTGGTTGATGATTCCAGTGGGAAACAGTCACCGAAAATATGAAGAGGAAAATAAAAGTCTAACCAATAAATAGTCACCACAGAACAAAAATGTATTTTTTTTCCTATTGCTTAAACTGACAAAGTAATTAGAAGCCATATATTATTCTGTGATTGGTTCAAGTATTATATATTTTTTAAAAACCAGACTTGAAAATGTCCATAGATTTTTGTGGTCTATCCTCATTTTGTGCCAAAATACCAGGAGGTGAACTAGAAGGATCCACACTATATGGCCTAGTCTGACTTTGGTCTTCAGGCTGTCAAATGTCTAATATTCAAAGATGGATGATTTCCGTTCTTGAAGCTTACATGGACTTAACCTTCTTCAGCATCCTCATCATTTTATCATCTGATTCTGGATCATTAAGAAGCTTTTCCTGGTTTCTATCCAAAATCTCTTAAATAGACTCTTTTATAAAGTTAGTATCCACTTAAGGAGCTTGAGGAATGTCAAAATTGTTATGGTGTATCTTATCCATATGGAAGTATGTTACTTTCAAGTTTCATAAAGCAAACATTTAAGAATATGTTATATTTGCAAATAACATTAATTGGTGCAGTGCTAAAAGGATGTTTTATATTGTGAATTCCAGGAAAACCTCATTTAATTAATGCTTTGATTCTATATGTAAGATAATCTTGACAGTACTTGACAGTTTATAAAATATTTGGGGGGGGGGTATTTGAGATGTTAATATTTTGATATTATTTCCCAGATTTAAGTTTTGAGGTTAGTTCAAACTAGTAAAAACTATATCAGTGGCCAGTTGCTTTATGAAATTTGATAACTAAACTTAAATGAATATGGAAAATTAGAAAGTAACTCTGTATTTTAAAGCTATTTTGTAAGTGCTGAACTTTCTTTAAGGTTTGTCACTAGCTAGGACTGAACAGAGCTCTATAATTTTGCAACTTCTACCAAGCGAGCGTCTAATAAGCAGGAAGCATCTTTACCAACAAAATGAAGAAATAATTCATAAGACATGGCAAAGCATATTAAAAAAGGCTGATGAAATTAAAGAATAGGTATGTATACAAATAGTACAAATTAACACTTCCCAAATTGGAGCGTTTTTGCTAATAAGTAGCTTCACTGTCAAATAGGAATTTCTAAGTACATTGGGTCAAAGAATTTTTCCCCCCAATTTAAAGCACTATCTAAGACCTTTGTTATAGAACTTACATGTCAGAGACTGTGGAGTGAATCCTGTCTTTTTTTTCCTTGCCTAGTGAGTCAGTCACTGTACTATTCTTTTTGCCCAGTTTGAGAGTCACTTGCTAATAAGTTTGTTGTGTTTACTCTGTGGAGGCGTTTTTGCCGCAGACATTCTATTTCTGCTTATGGTCTTCTGCTTCACAGCAGATAGTTTGCATACAGTCAAACAAGACGTTACTTTGATGATTGAAATGTGGTTGGCTGTTAAAAGTGCAGATAGATTTTAAGTGGATGAACATAGATCTGAGCGGAGCATGTTCCAGTGAAATCCAGTATCTAACGAATTCTAAAGGCAGAGCAGACAAAGATATCAGATAATTACATGTTATCTGTTGATCAGATATAATATGTTTAGTATACCTAGAAAGCATCTCCAAAGGGATTATTATGCTGTGTTGACTCTGAGTAGCACTGATTTGGTTAGTTCTCCCATTTGCAAGAACATATATCCAGTACTAAATAAGATAAGCCTGTTCTAAAATTTTGTTACAACTAGTACTTTAAGAAACTTGATTATACTTACCCCAGAGTATTTTTCCTTTTGTATTAAATATGGAAGTTTAAGTTTTTTAGCAAAAAAGAGAACTTTAAATGATTAATTCTAACCTTTCAAAAAATATATAGGAGATTCAAACAAGAAAAAAATGTAAATGATAAATGTTCAATAAATTCTTTAAGGAATTGATTTAATTAATTGTTAAATATTTCAGTATTTTTTATTTTGAGATTTCCAGAGGAAAAAAAGGAGACAACAGTATTGAGACTGAGTTGGGAATTTAAAGCAGATGAGAACAATTAGTTTTAAAAATAGAATTGTGAATATAAAGTTTTATCAACCTTTTTCTCTCTTTTAGGTATATTGAAAAATATTAAATAGAAAAAGTGATAAAATTTGAATAAGACATTTCAGATTTTTAATTGAGCATGAAAAAATTTAACCTAATTCCAAAAATTATTTGAGATCAAGTGATAAAAGTGTGATGCATATGTGAAGACTTGAAACTCAACTGTATTTTCTTTGTTATCAGTAAGAACTCTCAGTTTTTTCTGGGACAATTCATTTCAGATTCATAGAGATTTCTGACCAAACTGAGGAACTTTGTCTTCTTGGGTTTGTTTGGGTTATATGTCTCTCTAGTTATGTTATTTCTTGTTGAAATTTATAAATGTGGATTTGGGGGGTTATTCTTTTGTATTTAATGTTTCGGATAATGTCTTGTTAAATCATATGCAGTTATACCAAAATGTTGCCTGAAGATAAATCATGACAAGATTTCTTTTTTTCCCCCTATGTTTTGAATATGTGGAATCACTCATTACTTTGAATTTGTTTCCTTTTTTCCTGTCCCACCTTTCACTGTGTCTCAAAACCTCTTTGTTAGAAGTACTCTCAAGAAGTAAACTTGACAATAGGCAAGTAGCATGAAAGGGAACAAAATTCATCTGTGGCTAAGATCATTTTCCTTTTTTGAACAAAAATATTAGTTTTTTTACCCTCCCAGTTTATTCTACATTGTCCTTACGGTAGACCAGACATGTCTGCGTAACAACTTTTTTTTTACAATGTAGCAACTTCGTTACATTAATGGAGACTAGTCCATTTGCCTCCTAATATTTGTTTCACCCATGACCATTCTTCCCCTCATTTTCAGTTCATACATCCAAAGACATCCTGACTAGTGTTTACAAGATACTGTTGTACACACCGCCACTGTCATCTTACTGATTTATTTCAGCAAGTTTGCTGCAGCTAAATTGCTTTACTCAGATTCTCCCAAGCTTTCTGTGTATGTTCTCACCTTTATGCATATTATTTCCCATACTTGAAATACTCAGTTTTCTTTCATTCTGGTTATTTAAAGCTTACTCTGCCATTTCTTTAAAGCTCTGACAGAGTTTATACTTACTTTTCCAAACATTCTCACCTTCCAAACTCTGGTAGGTTGGCTCTCCATTTTCCTTCCCCATCGCTCATTTAGCTGTTATATTTCTTGTTTATGTTTTTGATATTCCTCTCGTAGCAAATTTGTATCCCTAGGGGAGAAAATGTCTCAAAAAGTATTAGATGATTGATTTTGTTTTGTCTCCTTGATAGTGTCTCTTACATAATGATGTATAACCAGAAACATGTAAATTTAAAGTGTTAATTGATAATTCTAAGCCTGATTTCCTATATAAGGTTGTAAGCTCAAGATAGGAGAAACCACGTCTTTTATTTATGTGATGTCCTGCAAATCCTTTTTAAAATGAGGTAAATTAAACCTATTATGGAAGACATTTCTTTTTTGATATTACAGTTTATCAAATAAGATTAACAGTTTTGTATTTTGGATGACTTGGTTATAAGCTTTCTAACCTCTTGAGCCCTGAAAACTTTTAAGATTTTTAGTTTTTATATAGTCTGCATTTCATCAGGTACATGAACTATTTTACAGGTCTAGGACTAAGTCTAGGGAAACTTTCAGTGGCTGGTTTTCATTGTGTTGCTTCTTTGAGCCTGGCTTGTTGGGAAACTATCAGTCTGGGTCCAATCTAGAAACAGAAACCACACGGTGATTGTAAACAAGAGAAGCTTAATATAAAAAAACGTTTTAAATTGGTCAGACTCCCAGGAGTTCAGCATTTGCAGCAGCTGAAGAAGTGGTGTTTCCCTGGACCTGGCTGCCTCCCTCTCTCCCGGGTTCCACAGGGGGAAAAAAAGTTTTAAATTGTGACAGAAGATATAAGATATAAGAGAGCTCTATATGGTACCCCAGAGATAAGGGAGAGTACTCAAGGAAGGACAACCTTGTAAGAAGGAGCTAAGATTTGGGGTCAGAGCTTGTTGAAGGAGTAGCTGCAGTCCACTTGATGGCACAGTTTACTGGTTTGTCCGGACCAGAGTCGGTTTTCAGTTACTAGGCAAGCAGGAAGCCATTCTCCAAGGTTCAGGGAAGCTGCAGGTGGTGTCTGGGTGTGGGCCTGGAGAGGGAGTGAGGATTCTTTTTGCATGCTGGACAGTGCTGGCTGGACACCTGGAGCGTAAGGGGTTTGTATTGGGAAAGTTGAAGGAAGTTGATCACCAGCCTGGGCCAGGTCTGTGAGGTCGCCAAGGAGAACCATACATTCTGGGACTGTGACTGGGGCAGAGAACTACCTGGTGTCTTTATACCCACCTTGTTTACTGATGGTGGAGCTGCCAGAAAGCAGCAGGTGAGCCCCGTCAGGGTGAATTTGGAGCTGAGAGACTATAAATTGATGACTGGTATGGAAACTTGTCAGGTTCTAGAAAGGTTTTGGTGGGAGAAAACATCATAAGGGAAATTTAAAAAATGCTTCACCTGTCCAACTCTGACCTCCCTGTTTTGCAATATACTATGCAGCCTGTCCAAGCCAAGAACCTGGAATAAAGGTAAAATAGCAAAAATGTCAGGTCATTTGGAAAACAGGCCCAGTAAGAAACCTTGGGCCAGTATTTTCAAAATCTAATGAATTTGATAATTTTGTAAAAGAAAACGGATCTGAACTAGAAATCTGGGACTATTATAAATATTCTGGAATTATATGGAAGAAGATCAGAATATCAGGGGAGTGGATTGCGTTCCTTCAATTGTGTTTCATCAAGGTGCCACATAACTTTTGAGTGTTTTTGGAAATTGAGCGTTTCCTGCAATTGGAATGCTTTGTTTTGTAGTATATTGCTTCAATTAAGCCATGATTTTTTTCTGTGTCTTCCACATATTACTCTTAATTTTGCCTTTCAAGACAATCTCACATTTTGGTCTTCCTAATATTGGAACCAACAAAAATAATGCTACTTCCATCTTTCAGGCTGTTTCTAGTTTCTAAATTATTTTTTTGGACAAAGTTTTATGTTCATTATTGTCTCACTTTTTTTTGAATGCTGTCTGGCTTTCCCTGTGTTGTTTAAATGTCTATATTATACAAATGATCCAGAGCCCTACTTAACAGCAAAACTCTAGAGTATGCACTTTATTTTTCGTGGTGATATATGATTGACATATATTAGTTTCAGGTATACAACATAATGATTCGATATTTGTATATTTGTTATTTGTATATAAGTCTAGTTAACATCCATCAACTGTATTTTTTCTTATTGCCACCCATAGCTAATTTTTTCCCAGCTTTGTTGAGGTATAATTGACAAAATTGTAAGATGTTTAAAGTGTATGTCGTGATGATTTGATATACACATGTTGTGAAAAGATTCCTCCATCTTGTTAATACATTCATCACCTCATATTTATCTCTCTCTTTTTTGGTGCGTTGTTTTCAATTTTTAAGAAATGTGGCATCAGATGTCCAAGATGCATAGAATAGATCATAAAGGATCTACATATTGTTCTTTGATAATTTATTATTCCATTCAGCATTCATTTATTTGGCTCTGCATGGCGGTGGAAGGAGGAGAGAGGAGTGTAAGGGTGGGAGAGATGATGACAAAGTATGGCTATCGTGAGGAACTCGATGGAAATATGTAAGTGGATACAGTTACACTACCCCAGGTAAGTATTGTTTCAGAGAAATGAAGATGGAGCAACTGCTATTAAGGCACAGGCGGTGGAGCAGCTAAGTGGCCGGAAGAATCAGGAATGAGTTCGCTCAGGAGGGAATGCTTGAGCTGATCTCCAAAATGAACATATTTGCCATCAAAGAAATTGGATGGAAGGGTGTTTGCTCTAGGCAGAGAGTAAGACGTGCAAAGACTTGAGTCATTAAAAAGGTCTGATACAAAATTACTGACTTGGAAGGGTATGTTGTGTGTTGTTAGTGGAAGAAACCAGTGCTTTAATATCGGGCAGATTTGTTTTATGATTCCACCATTTATTAGCTCTTTGTTGTAAACAAGCTCCTTGATCTTGCCTGAGGCTTTATTTAAATTTTCCCTTCCATTTGTAGTAGGTAGTTGGCAGTTTTGTTTCAAGAATTAAATGGTAATGCCTCTCACGTGATTTCAGTAAACACTAGCAGCTAATAATGTTAATACACCTAGGTGGGGGGAGGCTTTGAGCTCAGCCCCTGGCATTCATTCACCAGTTACAACTCTTGAAAACTGTGCTGGAATATATTAAGAAATGCTCTTATCTCCCTCTCTTCCCACACCAAGGTATAACTCTTTTGAGGAGAAAGAAATATCTCTCTCCATTCTGTAGGCCACATACATTCTTTAGACTGTAAGCATTATGATTAGGATCCCAATTCTCTTCTTCCTCTTCAGGATGCTTCAGCCCAGGGTTCCTGTTGGACCACTGATGTCCTTTGTGCTCCGTCTCTCCTAGTTACCATCCCCACACTCACATAATGGAAGGGTGTTTGAGCCTAGGCAATGCTTTGCCATTGTAAAGTGGTGGCCCTTGAAAGGATACTTCGCTTTGGGTCTTCAGCAAGGTATAGGCTTGACATCATGAGTTGGGAGTGGAGGTTCAAGGGAAGTACACTTGTTACTTATCCTTTAGACCTCTTCACCGTACATATGATTAAAGCAAGTTTAGCTGGTAGACTAGGCCAGTTGCCATAGCCTCCCCAACACTCTCACTTCTAGTAGGAGAAAAGAGAAGGTGTGAGGTGGGGAACGAGTAAAAACAGAAAGGGACAACGAGGTGAAATACGAACTTTGATAGCATCACTATTTTGAACTAACAGACCCTGCTTTGGTTAGTTTTTTCATGGATTAGTAGAAGTTTCAGATTCCTAGCTGGTGACCATGCCTACAAAGTAACTTTACAAGGGGATGTTACAACATCTGTATCCTGGTTTGCATGTGACTTGTTTTCTGTATACAGTAGAATGTCAAATTTGAGGGGTTCAGTTTCAGTGTCAGGTCTCTACTTAGCCATGGTCACAAAGAGGAGCCCCCAAGTATGAAAGGATGAGTAAGGTATAGAGGTGAGGGGTGAGGAGTAGAGGGGACATCTGCCAGGATGATTGGAAGGGTAGGAATCGTCTGTTGTCTAGTAGGGATAGAAGGGGGACTCCCCTTTGAGTCATCTTTGTAGAGTTCTGAATTGTAAAAGTAGGAGCTGATGTCTCTGTATCCCAGTTCTAGGATCTAGAAATGTCTAGATTTTATAGCACAGAGTTTTTATAGCATTCTTTGCCCCATAGTCTCAGGTTCAGGTGGGAAAGTCCAAACTCTTAGCATTACCTGTGTAGCAGGAGCCTTTCTGACTGTTGGAAGGCCTCACTTGGCAAGAATGACACAAATGAGGGCTTTGGTTCAGTACTTTAAACAGTATCTTGTCCAAGAGTCACATATTCTGGGCTTCCCTGGTGGCACAGTGGTTAAGACTCCCCTACCAATGCAGGGCACACAGCTTCGAGCCCTGGTCTAGGAGGATCCCACATTGCCATGGAGCAACGAAGCCTGTGCGCCACAACTACTGAGCCTGAGCTCTAGAGCCTGCAAGCCACAGCTACTGAAGCCCATGTGCCTAGAGCCTGTGCTCCGCAACAAGAGAAGCCACAGCAATGAGAAGCCCGTGCACTGCAACAAAGAATAAGCCCCTCTCACCGCAACTAGAGAAAGCCTGCGTGCAGAAACGACCCAACGCGGCCAAAAATAAATAAATAAAATTTAAAAAAGAAACAACCACATTTTCTGACCTCGAATAAAAAGAGGGCAAGTTAGGAATGCTTTTAATGGTGGCAGAGTTGAGATAAGGGGTGAAATTAGAGATGACTAATTTCACTACTGGCTTTAAAAGTGAGCAACCAGGGCAGGACAGGAATAAAGACGCAGACATAGGGAATGGACCTGAGGACATGGGGAGGGGGAAGGGTAAGCTAGGACGAAGTGAGAGAATGGCATTGACATATATATACTACCAAATGTAAAATAGCTAGCTAGTGGGGAAGCAGCTGCATAGCACAGGGAGATCAGCTTGGTTCTTTGTGACCACCAGAGGGGTGGGATAGGGAGGGTTGGGGAGAGATGCAAGAAGGAGGAGATATGGGGATATATGTATATGTATAGCTGATTCACTTTGTTATGCAGCAGAAACGAACACACCATTGGAAAACAATTATACTCCAATAAAGATGTTTAAAAAAAAAGTGAGCAACCACTGGTTGTACAGGGACTAGTTTATAAACAGTCTAGTAGAAGTAGTCATCCTTTTAATAAAGTCATACTTTTTTTAATAACATTTTTTAAAAATTTATTTATTTTTGGCTGCATTGGGTCTTTGTTGCTGGACGCGGGCTTTCTCTAGTTGCGGTGAGCGGGACTACTCTTCGTTGCGGTGCGCGGGCTCCTCATTGCGGTGGCTTCTGTTGTTGCAGAGCACGGGCTCTAGGCGCCCGGGCTTCAGGAATTGTGCCTCGCGGGCTCTAGAGCACAGGCTTAGCAATTGTGGCACACGGACTTAGCTGCTCCGCGGCATGTGGGATCTTCCCGGACCAGGGCTCAAACCCATGTCCCCTGCATTGGCAGGCGGATTCTTAACCACTGCGCCACCAGGGAAGCCGTGTTATACTTCTTCTGCTAGCTTGATTAATTGTTGAACCTTCTTCCAGTTATATGTGACTATGTCTCAGTCCTTCCTGATTTGGGTTCAGTATCTGCTTTCCCTGGATTACTCATCTTACTCATTGTTCACTCCCCTAGTTTACTGCAGTATCTATGTAGAAATAATATACCTGTAATTTATAAACAGATATATCATTTAAATTTTTTAAATTAATTCAGTTTTCTTTATTATAAGCTGCTATTGAAGTATGATGAAATTTTTTTAACGTGAGTCTTGCATGAGAGAAATGTGGCAAAAATCTTTGAATATACATTTTATTTAAAAATCTTTTGGAGCCACAAGCAAGATTTAGGTGGAGCCATATGTAGTGTTGCTTATGAATACAGATATGAGTATGTATACTGTGGAATTCTCAGGGTGGGTATATCAGGATTAGCTGGGTGGTATTTCTTCCTCAACTCCATCACTGGGTTGTGATGAGGGATAATGTGTTGCAAGTGTCAGTGTCTGGAGACAAAAAGAAGTTGACAGCCTCTGTTACATTGTATGTTTTCATCCTTAAATGCTGACAAAGATATCTTCATAGTTACATATATTTCAGAAAACAAAGGTTGTGTGTGACAAGAAATGTTGGGTGTTTCTTTGTTTGTTTCCAAGGGCTAAGTGGGAACTCTGGAGTCAGACCTGTCTGTGTTCGAGGCTCTACCACATGCTAGCTATATGACCCTGGTTTAGTTAACTTCACCTTTCTCATTTGTAAAGTGGGGCTAGTGATAGTACCTACATCAGAGGATTGTCATGAGCATTTAATGGGACAGTAAAATAGATCATAAAGGAAGCCTTGGTAAATGTTAACTATTACATTATTACAATTGTTATTAGTCACTAGGTATAATGTTTCTAAGTTTCTTTTGCATTGGAGCAATAGAGTGTTGCTCATACTAACTAACTTAAGATCATTGTTATCTCTCGTGATTTATCTGTTGTCCTGCTTCTTGGAGAAGTTAACTATGCCCTTCTAAACAGATATATCACTGATATAAACCATTACAGTCAATATTTGTTGAATGAATGCACATGAGCTGTAACAGTTTTCTGGAGTTGGACTCAGCTGATTTTGTTGTTCATATCACCACTCAATAGCCTTCTGTTCTAAAATGCTGTTGGATTGGCACTAAAAATTACATATGAAGCAATTATATTGGGGAACAAACAAAAGCTGGAATGTTGAATATCTTGAATTATTATGTCAATGAAATCTTGAAAAAAGTGGGAGTGTTGGGAATCCAGCAGTGTTATTTCCCCAAATAATTATATCTCTAATTCAAGTGGGTAGAGCTAGACAGTCCTAAGGGTTATTTAATCTAGCCTTAATTTTATACACATGAGGAAAACTGACTTAGCAAGGTTAAGGAACTTGTCCAAGATCAGATTGTCATGCAGAGCTGCGTGAATAGAATATTTTCATTTTCTTCACAAGTTCAGAACTCCTTCCCAGCTCTTTCCCTTCTCTGACACTTATTTTAGGAGCCCATACCCACATAACACCTGTTAGTGTTAGAGTTCTTCCTGAGAACATTCTGCAGTGGGTAATGGTGGACTATGGCAGCAGTGGGAACATGTATTGAGTCTTTTCCCAAAATGTCTGAAAATTAAATGTATGGCATTGATTTTGAGGTGACAAAATATTTAAAATAAATTAAGTTTTATCTGTGGGGCCAGTAAGGGGATTTCCTCATCTTGTTACCAGGGTACTATAAAACATAGTTTTTTTCTTGTTTAATTTTCCTTGTGTATTTGTTACTGGTGCGAATCATTACATTATTGTCTTTGAGACAAGGGTCTATATCTTCTATGATACTGTAACAGTCTCCAGTGTCTGGTCATCTGAAAGTTGGCAATAGATAAGAAACATTTGCATAATAAGAGCACTGATCAATCTTGTTACTGGTAGACATTTCAAAGGAAGTAATCAAATAATTGCCAACTTTATCTTATTAGCTTTTTCCACCTGAATCATAGAAGGCAGATAACTTGGAGATGGGGGCCGCTGGGGAAATGTTCTTATTGAAACAAAGAAGCACTGCCTTTTCTTCTATGCCAGCATGGCATAAAGGAAGAATCCGGTTGGCTCAGGTTTTCTAACAGAAACAATATGCATATATTCTGTTTTCTGCTTAACCTTTCAACCAGTAATAAAATTACTAAAAAGTTAAAAGCATGCACCAAGGGATCTTGCTTGAAGCCATTATTATTATGATAATCTCATGGTGATTTTCTGTTTCTTTCATTAAAAAATATATTTTTGGTGGATATCTGATGAATATCTTACATAGATATTAAGGACTCCTGCCTTCCCACCAGCACTGCCCATTTTGGAGACTAAAGTGACCATGGTTTAAATGATGTTAAATGGTGAAAGGGTGGGTGAAGGGGTTAAAAGATAAGAAATATATTGCCAGTAGTACTTAGCTATGGTCTAGATAGGAAGTTCACTGTAATGGCAATAAGAAAACCTGGGTTTTAGTTACAATTCTGTTATCTTTATATAAGCAGGTCTTTTATTCCAATTTTCTAATTTGCAAAATAAGGACAATTCTATAAATGATTCAAGGTAATGGGTGAGGATGTAGCAATTTGACTTACTAGGAGGGATAATAGGTGGTTTATGAATTCAGATGTCCTTCTACCATATTAAGGTAAGGGTGTTATTAAAGTAGTGAGTCTACTTGTGCTTATTAAAAAGGAAAAGCCTGACATTCATTGGACATTTACTATGTATGGGCACCGTGCTAAGTGCTTTACTTATATTAACTAGTTTAGTCCTCTCGCACCTTTATGACGGCAACATTGTAAAGATAAAGAACTTGAGGCACAGGGAGGTTAAATACCTTGCCCCAGGTCACACAGCTAATAAGTGGCAGAATTAGGATTCAAACCTTGGTGGTCTGGCTCTAGAATTTTCACTCTTAATCACACAGGATAAACTTCTGCTCTGGTTATAGCCACTGGCAGGACTGATATTCATCTAGTATATACTGGTGTGACCACACCACCTCTATTTCCATTGAGTCTTAGAGACCACTCATTGTAAAGCACATCCCATTTTTGGAGATGTTAAAATGTAGACTTCATTCTAACAAGTGCACAAGGAAAATTTAATAGGAAAAATATGTTTTATGGTACTCTGATAGCATGATGAGAAAATCACCTTGCTGGCTCCACAGATAAATTATTTTGAATATTTTATTACCTCAAAAATCAATGCCGTACATTTAAATTCCAGGTCTTTGTGAGAAAAGGCTAAATTGATATGAGTCACTGATGCATCTTAGATTTGACGAGATATGGTAGGAAAGCCACAAAGTCACTCCCCATCACTTGAGCATAGATTAACCTTCAGCCTTGTCAGAGCTTGAGCTGCCTGACCCAGATAGAATCTATATTTTTTACCACATGGTCTGTTACTAAACTACTTACAGACAAGTCAGAAATATGAAATAGAATGTAACTGACTAAGTGTGTCTACCAAGTGAAACAGTGTTGGGACTCGAAGACTTAGCTCAAAATTATGGTTTCAGAGAGGCCTTGCCTTTTCTTCCTATCTCAAACACAATTATTCTTTCTGTGCTCACAAGATCTTGTACATACTTCTATCAGAACACAGCACATTTTGGGGGGAAATTATTTGCTTTCTTTTCCATTTCTCCTACTAGATTATAAGGTAATAAAAGGCTTCATAATGTGTAGAGTGGTATACAGCCTGGAATAGAGTAGGCATTCAACCATGTTTATGGAAGGAATAAAGGTAGGAAGATA